TATCAACAGCTACTAAAAAGGTTTGATATGGAAACATCAAAAGTCATCGACACTCCTATTGCCACAGCTACCCGTCTAGATATGGATGAACCTGGTTCCCCTATAAATCAGACCATGTAGAGGGATCATAGGGTCACTCCTGTATCTCACTGCAAGCAGACCATACTTTGTTTTCAGCGTGGGTCTCTGTGCAAGGTTTCAATCCAATCCAAAGGAATCTCATCTGAAGGCTGCCAAGAGAATACTAAGATATCTCAAAGGAACGCAGGGCCTGGTCCTCTATTATCCCTCAGGTGATAGCTTTGTCTTATTGGGTATGCTGACGCTGATTATGCAAGATATCTGGTGGATAGGAAAAGCACGTCTGAAATGGCACATTTTGTGGGCTTTTGCTTAATCTCATGGGGTACAAGGAAGCAAAACTCAGTGGCACTTTCAACTGCAGAAGCGGAATATGTAGGAGCTGCCTCTTGCTGTGCTCAGCTTCTGTGGATCAAGAACAGCTGGAAGACTTTGGAGTGTTCTCAGACTGTGTGCCCATCTTATGTGATAATACAAGTGCACTCAACATGGCAAAAAATCCAGTTCAATATAAGAGGACCAAACACATTGATGTACGTCATCACTTCCTCAGAGACAATGTTGAAAAAGGGCTTATATGCATGAAATTCTACAGCACTGAAGATCAAATTGTAGACATATTCACCAAAGCCCTGAGCTGAGAACTCTTTGAGAAAAATCGTCTGGCACTGGGGTTGATAAAACCCAATTGAGAACCTTGTCCCTCAATGATTGGCTATGAAAGAAATGTTCAGGTAAAATTAGCTAAAAAGTGTTTTCTAGCAAAGTCTAACTCATCTCTATACCGTTACAGGTAGACACGCTTGATGATTACCGAGCAAATAAGTAGTTGAAGCCTTATACGCTGGTAATATGGGCAAAGCTTATAGATACAAGATTATCCAGGAAACCTGGTTCTCCTGGCACAGGTTAGTAGTTTCTCTGATCTCTCATGCACAATTTTGAGCGATTAAAACAAGTGCCAAGTCATCAGCTTGTCAGTTTTTAGTTTTTGTGTCTTTTGAACCCAAACGTCTCACCCGTTAGTAATCGACCCATCTCCCTAAAAAATTCCACCCTTCCTAACCGGTCTTTCATTCATCATAAATACATCTATCACTGTCATTACACTCTTCACATCAACACTTCATAAAAAAAACCCGGTTCTTCTTCTTTCCCTCTTCAGTCTACAAATTCTTCTCACCACGGCTGAAAATCAGATAACCTCTAGTGTTCCAAGAAACATCCCCTCTGAGTCCTCACCAGTTGAAACACCAACTCCAGACTCCTCTCTCCATACTACTGCTAGACAAAACCCTAGAACACATTCATCCCCTCATCCGGTATGCTCTCCTACCCAATCAAGTTCCGATTCTCAAAGGAGTCACAAAATATCGACCCCAAAAAGATTTATAGCCCAGAGCTCTTCTCCTACTTTGCCAACAAAGGCGAATGAAAAGAGTACTACTGAGAATGAAGAAAATCAGGAATCTCAAGTTCTCCTATAGAAGAAAGGTCAAAGGTAGATCAAATTGAGGGGTTCGAAAATGTTGACTCAACAAAGATTGCTCCTGATCCCGTGTCCACAGGTAACACTTCTACTTCTCCTGAGTTTCCCATGGACTTACAAGAAAAGGAAGCCATAGAAAATATGTTGTCCATAGCTAATGAAGGGGGTTTTTGTTGAAGGAAGTGAGGATGGTCTTAAGACTCAAGGGGAAGAGTCTGAGACTGTTGGAGAGGGTAATGAGCTTGTGCCTGTGGAACCATCGGCACTGGAAGATGCTACTGGGGAATCTACTGGAGGACCTGATCCCCCTTCGGAAGATCAAACTCAGGGGTTCTCTCAGGAACTCCAGTTCTGTGCTGACCCTCCCTCTCCTCATTTAGATGCTGAGCTTTTGAGTGTGGTTGTACCTGAGATAACACCTGTGTCTGAAGAACAAAAGAAGGATAGTGAAGGGGATTCTGATGATTTACCAATTTCCAATTTTTCTAGGCGTAGATCAGTTGTCAGTGAAGAGATAACTCCTAAGCGACCCACAACAAGGTTGCAAAAGAAGGAGGCTCTTGAATCTGCGCTTAAGAATAGTCAAGCTAAGTCAAGGAGAAGAAAATTAATGAAAGATGGCAAAGTTGTGAATGAGAAGATAGTGCCTGTTGTGAAAATGGATGAGGAAGAAGCCGAGGAACCTAGTTCCTTGACTAGAAAGTTATCACAGAAGCATGGTCTCTCCAAGCCAAAAGAGGGATCTTCTATGTCTGCTAAAAGTCTGACTAAGTCTGGTGATGCTCTAGCTAGTAAGAATATGCTGGACGAATTGGGTGAAACTCTGTGAAGTCTGATGAAAAAGGGAAGAGTGTTCGCAAGTCTGCTAAGAGAAAAGCTGATACTGATGAGGAACCTGGTTCCTCAAAGAAGGCCAGAGTTGGTGATCCCGAGAGTGCGGGGAAAGAGATATTGAGAAGTCAAAAGGTGCTTTTGGGTCGCACATTTGCCCCTGATATCTTGGAGGAGGCTGGTATGAGACAGTTGGTTGAGATATGTGAGTTCCAACAGTGGACACACTTGTTTACAAGTGATGCTTCTAGGGTGTATGAGGAGGAAGTTCAAAGTTTCTATGCGGACTTGTTAAAAGTTAAGGATGATCACATTTGCGCCTTGGTGAATGGAGTTGACATGGTAATGGACTCTGCCTTGTTGGGGTCTATTCTTGGTGTGCCCGTTAAAGGACTGTCTATTGTCCAGGGAGCCTGTACTCAAAACTTCAGAAACACAATCTTGAAGGAAAGAGCAGTTCAGTAGGGGGAACGGGTTCAGAAGAAGGCCCTCCTTCCTATATACCAACTGCTATTTGAGATGGTGAACAAAGTATTGCTGCCTCGAGCTAAGAGAAGATCTATTACTTCTCATGCAAATCTATTCCTCATGGAAGCACTGGACAACTTCACTACCATTAATCTGCCAGGGATCATGATAGAGCACATGAATAAAGTGGCAGACTTTAAAGATGGTAATCATGGGCTGCCGTATGGGTTCCTTCTCACCAAGGTCTTTGAGCACTTCAAGGTGCCTCTGGGACCAGCTAAAGTGGGCACCAAGAAGCAAACTTTTTCAAAAGCCACTCTTGAAGAATGTTAGTGTATTGAGAAAGTTGGAGGGGTTGGAAGCACTTCTACCATATCTTAGTTAATAAATGCTCAAAACATTGCTACTACTGAGATAAGGCAATTGAAAGCAAGGAATGCTATCCTTGAGACTCCGTTAAGTCAGCTGCAACAGGCACCTAGTTCCAGTAGCTCTCAAAGCGAAGAGGTTGCTTGCTTGACAAAGGAGAACGTTGAGCTCAGGAAACAAGTGGAGGACCTGAAAGAGAAACTGCTCAATGAGCAAATATCAGTAAATGCTCGAATCGATTTAGTCCTCAACACTCTTGCCTCAGCCTCCAAGCCCTCTCCTTCCAGTGCTCCCTAAATACTGTCCCCTCAGTGTCAAGTCTATAATCTAGTTTGTCGTCAAGCCCCTCAGTGTCAGTTCTTATGATGATAATTTGTGGTATTCTTGTTGATTGTTAATGCAAGCTTTTCCCTTTTTGCTTTTTATACCTTGCTTTTATGCTCTGTTTTTAGTCATGATTGTGTGCACATAAGTGGCATGAGTTAACGTAAAGCTAGACTTCTTTATTGCTTAAAAGCTTATTACTTATCTTTTATGATGCCAAAAGGGGGAAGAATAATTACATAATTGTGATGTGCACTGATTAAGGGGGGAAGTAGAGAAATGCAGTATTCAGGGGGAAACTTAAGGTCTTTCTGGTTCGCTTCTAGGATTTTCAATTATGAGTTTGTCATCATCAAAAAGGGGAAAATTGATAGTTTACATTTTTCAAGTACAATGTTTTATGTTTTGATGATCTAACAAACTTACTATCAAGAACCAGATAAGGATCCTGTTACACATTCTCAAGACCTTAAGATCACAAGGCTCCAGATTGGGATATTGTTCAAATCTCTAGAGTTGAAGAACAGCTGAGCGAATCGATTTTTACCATCTCCCGAGGCAACTGAACGAAGTCAACTCTCCAGGTGTAAAGTTGCTGCCTACACACGCTACTGTACAGGAACAATGCAACAGTCAACTTTCTGTGGAAGACTTTTTACCTGCCTTGCTTACATCATTGTAAGTGATGTCACACATGTATTATTAACATCAAAGAAGGTAAAACAAAGTCACTTGAACTTTTCTGAGAATTCACTTAAGCTCTCTCACGTGATCATCCAGTAAGAAATTCTAAAGTGCATCAAGAACAAAGAACAACACTACTATGGACCAGTTCCCCACAGCAAGTCATCGCTTGTCCTTAGTTGAGTTGTAACTTTGTAATAGTTCTTCAATTGTAATTCCTACTTAGCTTGTTTAGAAGTATTCTATAGGAAACACTTTGTAAACCTTAAACCTTCGTGTTTGAGTCTTGGCTAGAGTTAGTCGAGTTGTAAAGTCTTTGTAATAGAGTTATTACAGAGTGGCTTGTAATAGAGTTTTACAAGTTAGTGAGGATTAAGAGGTTAATTCCTAGGTTGCATAGGTTGTAATCTAAAAGTTGCTCAGTAGTGAAGTTGAAATCCTACAAGGGTAGGTAGTGGTTTTTAATCCCGTTGAGCTTGGAATTTTCCACGTAAAATTCCTCGTGTCATTTACTTACTGCTATGTGTGTGTGTTCTAGTGGAACCGGTAGAGAACCTGGTTCTCTATAGAGTTTGGTGGACCCTTATATTCTATCAATTGGTATCAGATCGGGTTCTTTCTATCAGGTTAATACCTAGAAAGGATCCTCATGGCTGCTCCTCCAAACTTCGAAGAAGGCCAATCTACTTATAGTCCACCTAGGTTCAATGGACAGTATTATGGATGGTGGAAAACTAGGATGCATGACTTCATCATGGCTGAAGATTTCGAGCTATGGGATATCATCTGTGATGGACCCTTTGTCCCTACCAAGAATCTTGGTGACTTAGCTGTAGCCATTCCCAAGACAAGGAAGGAATTCAATGATGCTGATCGAAAGGCGGTAGAGAAGAATTTTCGTGCAAAGAAAATTTTCGTCTGTGGCAATGGTCTTGATGAATACAACAGGATATGAACATGTCAGCTAGCCAAGGAAATTTGGGAAGCCCTTCAGACTGCTCATGAAGGAACAACACAGGTGAAGCAATCCAATATCGACATGCTCACAATTGAATACGAGTTCTTCAAGACGAAAGATGACGAATCCATCCAAGATGTACATAATCGGTTCACCTCTATCATCAATGAGCTTCACTCTATTGGTGAAATCATTCCAGGAAACAAGCTTGTCAGAAAAATCCTTGGCTACATGTCAAATATGAATGTCACCGGTAATGCAACACAGTGATAAACTGAGATATTCATGCTCTCGGAGTATCCAACCTCACCTAGTACGCTCAATCTCTTAGCACTCTCAATTGCTAAGCACACTCAGTCACACGACACTCACACTTGGCACTCGCACTCAATACTCAACGATACCTGCGCTCACTGCTAGTTTGTCAGATTTCGGAGGGGCGGATTCTGTCGAAGCGCTAATATAAGCCAACATGGCATGCTGGGGCGTGTAACCCGATCCCATCATAAATCAGTAAAGCCTACTGCGGCATGCAACTCGATTCCTTAAACATCACTCACAATCAGGCCCTCGGCCTCACTCAGTTATCAATCTCTCCAGTCTCTCGGACTCACAAATCTCATGCCAATCAGTCTAAACAATGATATATGATGTAATAATAAATGATAACAGAGACTGAGATATGATATGCAAATGATGAATGTGACTGAGTACGTAACTGCAATTTAAGCAAATAACTCAACAACAGAAACGAATTCTGTGGGTCCCGACATTACCAACATCTAGCCTAAACATGATTTCTAACATGGATCACAACTAAATTTCTCTAACACATGTAGATTACATGAATAACGGCAAGATTGGGTAACTACATAATTCTACAGAATCAGACGAGTCACAATTACTTCGGTACACGCCCACACACACGTCACCTAGCATGTGCATCACCTCAACACCAACCACATAACACGTAGTTCAGGGATTCATACCCTCAGTACCAACTTTAGAAGTATTACTTACCTCAAACCAGACCAATTCAACCCTCGAAAATCACTTGTCCCTTATAAAACACCTACACACGGCTCAAATATACCCAAATTTGACTTAGTATCATCAACCGATACAAGAGAAAATAATTACAATAAGTAAATCTTTGATCTGTACACTTTTTTCAAAAGTCAACCTGGGGCTCACCCGGTCAAAACCCGGGTCCAATGGTTAATTCCGGCTACCTGTGAACCCATGAGTCCATATATGTGATTAATTTCAAAATCCAAGTCCAAATCAACTCTTAAAACTCAATTTCTTATTTTCTTAAAAACATGACAAAGTTTCACAAATTTTCACTTTGATTCACACAATTTTTATGTTAAAATCTAAGATATATTGATGGAATAGGATTAGAATTAGATTAGAATCACTTACCCAAAAGTTTGTAGATGAAAATTCCTTCTCCATATCGCTTCCTACCGAGTCTAGGGTTCAAAATGAGAGAATGAGTTAAAAAATCCTATCTCCCAGCCCTTTAACGAGCTGCAAATGTTACATTTGCCATACAGGGTTCGCAAATGACAACCTCAAGCAACCTCGCAATTGCGAGAATACTCTTCGCAATTGCAAACTGGAGGGTCATCGCAAAAGCGAACAATTGCTCGCAAATGCAAAATAAGCTACAATCATGCTGCCTTCGCAGATGCAAAGGGGAGGTCGCATTTGTGACAACTGTGCCCCTTCTATCACCTTCGTAAATGCGACCCTGGTGTCTGCAAATAGAGCACCAAACACCAGATTTTTGCAAGTTTCTGTCCAAATCACTCTGGAACATGTCCTAAACTCATCCGAGCCCTCGGGGATCCAAACCAAACATCCACACAAGTCTAAAAATATCATACGAACTCACTCGTTAGATCAAAACACAAAAATAACATCTAAAACTACGAATTAAGCACTAAAACGCATGAATTTCAAAGTAAAGTTCAAGAATTGCTATAATTACAACTAAACGTCTGAATCCTATCAAATCAATTCCAAATGACGTCAAATTTTGCACACAAGTCATAAATTACACAACAGAACTATTCCAACTTTCGGAACCAAAATTCGAGCCCGGTAACAACAAAGTCAACTCTCGATCAAACCTTTTAACTCTCCAAACTTCAACTTTTCCAACTTGCGCCAATTCGAGCCAAATCACCTACGGACCTCCAAATCAATATCCGAGCACACTCCTAAGTTCAAAATCACCATACGAAGCTATCGGAACCATCAAAACTCCATTCCCTAAGTCGTTTACATATAAGTCAACATCCGATCAACTCTTTAAACTTAGGCTTCCAACCATGGGACTAAGTGTCCCAATTCATATTTTTTTTAAAAAGTCAATATCTAATTTTTTTAAAAACTTGACAAATTTATACAAATTTTCACTTAGATTCTCATAATGTTGATATTAAAATCTAAGAGATATTGACAGAATAGGATTAGAATTAGATTAGAATCACTTACCCAAAATTTATAGATAATAATCCCCCGCCTCCTACCTAGTCTAGATTTCAAAAACGAGAGAATAAGTTCAAAAATCCTATCTCCCAGCCCTTTAACCAGCTGTAGATGCCACATTTGTGACAGAGGATTCGCATTTGCGAACACTCACAATTGCGGACCAGGGCTCGCATTTGAGAACCCCTAACAGCCTCATGCAACCTCACAATTGCAAGAACACTCTTCGCAATTGGGAACTGGAGGGTCATCGCAAAAGCGAATAATTGTTCGCAAATGCGAACTAGGCTATAATCCTGCTGCCTTCGTAAATGCGAAAGGGAGGTCGCATTTGCGACAACTGCCCCCTTTCTGTCACCTTCGCAAATGCGACCCTGGTGTTTGCAAGTGCGACACTAGAGCACCAGACACCATATTTTTGCAAGTTTCAATCCAAACCACTCCGGAACATGTCCAAAACTCATTCGAGCCCTCGGGGCTCCAAATAAAACATCCACACAAGTCTAAAAATATCATACGAACCCACTTGTGCGATCAAAACACAAAAATAACATATAAAACTACCAATCGAATACTAAAACGCATGAATTTCAAAGTAAAGTTCAAGAATTGCTAAAATTAAACTAAACGTCCGAATCCTATCAAATAAACTCCAAACGACACCAAATTTTGCACACAAGTTATAAATGACACAATGGACCTATTCCAACTTCCAGAACCAAAATTAGAGTCCGGTAACAACAAAGTCAAAACCTTTCAACTCTCCAAACTTCAACTTTTCCAACTTTCGCCAATTCGAGCCAAAATCACCTACGGACCTCCAAATCAATATCGGGGCACACTCCTAAGTCCAAAATCACCATACGCAGCTATTGGAACCATCAAAACTCCATTCTAGAGTAGTTTTGATATTTTTTTATGTGTTCTGAGGGTTCGAGCAGGTCCGTATTATGTTTATGGACTTGTTTTTTCAATTGGATAGGGTCCTAGGTGCCTCGGATGAATTTTGGACCATCCGGAGCTAAGTTTGAAAATTTGCTTTTCTTCTTTGCGAACGTGGAGGAGGAGTCGCATTGGCGGAGAAGGAATTAGGGGACTAAGCATTTTGCCCTACGCATTCGCGAACCATGGGTCGCGTTCGCGAAGCTTCAGGACCAGTGGACTTTGCGTTTGCATGGACAGACATGCGTTCACGTAGAATAAAGGGCCCGGGGTGGGTCAGCCACATTTGATCTTCGTGTTCGTGAAGGGCGGACCACATTCGTGAAGCTCAGCCTAGGCAAGCCTTTGCGTTCGCGTGTCTTCCCTCGCGTTCGTGATGAAGAACTCCTAGGCCTGGGCCAGCTTTACCTTTGTGATCGTGAGTCCTCTTACACGATCGCGATGAAGGGTCATTTGGGCAGTGACATATTTTAAATCGGGACTTGGGTTCATTTTCTCTTATTTCACTTTGGGTTAGCCGATTTTGGAGCTCTTGGAGAGGGACTTTTCACCTATCATTGTAAGGTAAGTAATTACTACTTAATGTGAGTATAATACACCAATTTTGGGTAGATATTTAACATAAATTGTGGAAATTATAGGATTTTGATGAAAAACCTTGTTTTTGATAAAAATGGGTTTAGAACATGAAATGATTATGGAATTGAGTAGAAATTATATATTTGTGTTCGTGATGTTATGGGTAACAATTATTGACAAAAGATTTCTAAATCTGGGCACGTGGTTTCGGGGATAAATTTTAGGAACCTTTCAAATTGAGTTGGGTAATTACTCTAGTGAATAAATAATGTTCTTTTGAGCAATTATTGATTAGTATGTACAACCTTTGGTTAGTTTCGGATTGCTCGACACCGACTTGAGGCCTTTAGTGTGATTTGTGGATCGGAAAGTGGACTAGAAAATGAGGTAAGTCTCTTGCCTAACCTTGTGTAGGGAATTAACTCCACAGGTGTTTAAATTTTTATTTGCAACTAATTGTGGGTGCTACATACGCACGAAGTGACGAGAGTCCGTAATTAGCTCAAATTCATGTTATGTCCGGATAGACATAGGACTTTATCATGCAATACTTGCACTATTTGAACTCAACTTGTTAATTTAATTGCTTGAATTAATATGTAAAATTTGGTTAAAGATTATGTTATATCGAGCTTCATTACTTAGTGATTGGCAGAATGTTTAATTATCGATGGAAATTTATATTCTTTTATGAGCTTACCTTGGGCCGTACGACCTCGGCATAACTCGTGCGTGTTGTCTCTAGGAGTCCGATTATACTCGATATATCCTTCATGACATAAGAAATTGTAATTTCCTGTTGGCCCTGTGTAACGACCCAACTGGTCGTTTTGAGCAATTACGTCTGGTTCGGCAGTTTGGGTCACGAGCAACTTCATATTATGTGTATCGACTTGCGTGCGCAGTCCGGGTGTGAAACCGGAAAGCTTTTATGTGAAAATATGAAAAAATAGTAATTTCTAGAGTTAAAACTTGGTTTTTAGTTGACTTTGGTCAATATTTTTGGTAAACGGACCCGGATCTGTGTTCCGACAATCTCGGGAGGTCCGCGGTAAAATATGGAACTTGGGAGTATGCCCGGAATTTGAATTGCGAGGTCCCTAGCCTTAGAAAATAATTTTTGAAGAAAATTATTGTGCAGGTTTTTAGAGGAAATAAAGAAATGGATTAATGTTTGAACTCGTTGGTATCGGGCCCGTATTTTGGTTCCGGAGCCCGGTACAAGTTTGTTATGATATTTAAGTCCTACC